AACCCAAGAAACTACTAAAAAAAGTAATTGCCAAACCATCCCTTGACAGTTGGAATTTATAAGCAATTTATAATTTGTAGTCTAAGTTGCACTAAAATGCACTACTTTCATATGCCTATATAGTTTCTATTGTGGCAGTTTGTTCTCTGGATATTTTTCTCAAATCAAATCACTGAGTTCTACTTCAGTTACTAAAATGCCAGCAAGAGAGTACATTGTTCTGATAGTAATGGAATCCAAGGATTTAGTGAAATCAAGGACTTCATTTTTTTTTTGGACTTTTTGCTTGATGATGATATTAGAAATTCTGTTTCTGATGTGGGTAATCATGAGGGATATAGAAATTACTATAGTCACGAGAAGTTAATAGACGAAACCTATTGCAGGTTTCTCCCGAGTGGGAGCTTAAGTAACCCCCTAAAATATCATCTAACGTTGAAGGGTTCTCTACCATTGATGTCCAACTTATAGGAGGGTAAACCATAGGAAGATTGAGTTTAATAGGAAGGAGACTTGAGTCAAAATTGCATATAGCGTAACAATTTAATGGATAATAACCCGTCTTCTTAGACTTAGAAACTGGTACTATCAATTTAGTTTAATGTATCCATATGGCATCTATCAATGTTCAACATGATCAAGTGTCTTTCAACCAAGAACTCTAACAAGCTGGTTGTAGTGAAGCTGGGAATGGGATGCTTATTTAGCCTGTGGCTAAGTTAAAAACGTGAGAGCTTTGGTTGAGATTAGAGGTATATACTTAGCCCATCATCTATTTGCCATTGAATGACTTTGGCTGCCTGCTATATCCCTTTCATATTCTGTTTTTGACTTTCAAATTGCCAATTTTGTCGTGCTTCACGTGTGGACCTTTTTGAACAATTTGATTTTAATCATAGACTTAGGGCACAGAACTTGCAGAGATAGCACGGTTTTGCTGTCTAATCATAATAGCATAAGGTTAAAGCATGTTTGGCACTGATGGACGGTTGCAACCCAAAGAGTGACCTTCTCTGAGCCTTAGGCTCCTTCTGTGTTGTCTTGTGAAATGCAAAAACAAAAATTTTAAAAACACAAAAAGAAAAGAGTGAGAGAGAGAGAGAAAAACAGCGTTCAGTTAGTTGAATTGAAGTGATGGCTGGGAAACCGGATGTCATGGGCTAAGTTCTTGCAAGCTTATAGAATGCATGGTTGCAAGAATTTGGCTTGAAGCCTTTGGAGATAACATTTTTATTGAAATGAATATATCTTTTTGGTCCAAAAGGGAGAGATTCTCAGATTATTAAGAATTGGGAATAAAGTTAAGAATTTTCTATTTCTTTAAAATCCAAGTCAATAGATTACATTCAAAAGAGTGCGAGTGTGATTCAAAAGTATTTGATGCTCTCTTATCAACTTCGAATAAATTTTTTAAAAAAAATTAAAAATGAACCTTATAAATTGGAGCTAAGAAATGCAAAGTAATGTAATCTCCACAAAGAAATCAAAAGAAAAACACTATCCAAACCAAAGTGATATGTTTCGCGGTTCAGGTTTCCAACAACAAAACTACACAATGCGCCAAGAGAGTTGGAGCTCGACAAATGGCCATAACAGCAATGTCACAGGCTGGCCAATGACAACCAGTCCTTGTCAGCTCTCAAGCCGTCCTGTGATGGTTAAAGTCGGCTATGGCTCTGCTCAACAACAAGGTAGCAACATCGATTGCTTTGATGACATGTCTCACTTCTCACATAGCGGTAAGCTCAACAACTTGGTGGTTAGCAAAACCAATGCAACAATGGGAGCTGGTAGTGGATACGGGACCTACTACGATGAAAGTTTCCTCGATAATAGCCATGGCTTTAGCGGGCACCTTTTGGTCATGCGGTGTCTCAGTTGCCACATGGTGGTAAGTTCAACAACTTTGTGGTCAGCGATGGATATAGGACTTACCAAACTAATGCAACAAGGGCTGGTGGTGGTGGTGGTGGATACGGAACTTACTTCGATGAAAATTTTCTCAATAATATTAAGACGCGGGAGATGGGCTACGAATATGATAGCAGTTGGGGTAGTAGTGGAAGCCAACATTGCTTGACTAATAACCCTAATGGATTTCAAAATGGCAACCAGAAAGTAGAGTACTGGGCAAGCAAAGGGGTTTAACAGATCAGAGATATGCCATGAAAGTTTGATGCAATCATATATATATGTATGACAGTATGCGTAAAATTATGTATTTGATATATATGGTTTTAAGTACCTCTCTGAATGGTGTTTAAGGTACTTACAGACCTACTAAACTATGTATTGGCAGCATATGCAAAGAAAATAGTAATATTATGTAACCAAAAGCTATATAATCTATTGAGTGTTGAAGACTTGGTAATGCTAATGTACAAATACAAATTAACAGAAAAATCAATTTATAGCCTAAATTCATTGATTTTGGTTTTCTTTTTCTTTTTCTTTTTATTTTTCTTTTTGTTCACTTGAATTTTTTGATACTAATATTGTTATTTAAAATCATGCGATCATTCATTATGAGTCAAAATTGCAAGAATGACACTAACCATATCATTTTAAAAGGACATTGTTATAACTTTTTTTTTTTTTTTTTTTTTTTTTTTTTTTTTTTTGTAAGAATAGAATTCTCATTTTCAAAATAGAAAAGTATTGTGTAATGGTATATCCCCATGAGAATTGTAGGAGGACCATGTCAGCATCAACATTAACTCTCTATTTTCATCATCAGAAAAACTGTCAATTTTTCCGGGATCCTAACAATTAGAGATCCTGCATGATCAGAGTCGTGCGAGTCCTAAACATCATGAAATTGTTTTCCCTTATGGAATTTTCAATATGTTCTACTAGCTTTCCAAATATAAGGCCTTGTTTGCCTTCAAATTTAACATTATTTACCATCCAGGGTGTACATACTAATTTTGTTACATTTAATTTCGAAGTTCTTTTCAACAACCAATCATTAACCACCTAATGTAGTTACAAACCACTAATTAAAATAAAAATTCCACCAAAAAAATTGGCCTTTTTTATCATTACCCCCAAACCCACAAAAACTATATGTTCTTCATTGGTATGTTCAGATTCAACCATCAACAGCTAGCTCAAGTGACAACCAACACAAAAACTACATATTAAGATTTAAGCATTTTCTCAATCTCTTCACCTTTGCTTTCAATTTTATTTTATTTTATTTTTTTTTTCGTGGGATTGAAGATTGCAGAATCATGTACCCAAATTGGTGTCAAACTCAGCACTCCCCATGCCCAAATCATTGTCTGGTATTTTCACAAACACAATTCATTTCAGCACCAAAGGCACAATACCAAGCTTCAACATGTAGCTATCCGATGATCCCCGGAACAATATTTACAGCCAGAATGTGCAAGCACCATTTTGGGTACAACACTCAGGAATTGTGGTCGACGGGCCTGTTTGATTGTTTTATGGACTGTAAAAACTGTGTGTTCTGTTCTTGGTTTATGTCTGTTTTTTGGCTATATGATTTCAGTGAATTTTGGATTTTGAAATTCAGTTGTTTGAAAGTACCAATCTTTTTTTTTTCTTTTTTCTTTTTTTTTTTTGGTTCAGACTTTATAACAGTGTGTCCTTGCATTACATTTGGGCAGATTGCAGAGAATTTATGCAAGGGGTAGGCTAGAAGTTGATGAATTACTATAATGTGGAGTGTAAAAAAATAAATAAACAAAAGAGAAAGACAAAAAAACAAAAACAAAAAAACAAAAAGAGAGAGGACATTTTTATGTTTATTCTTGGTAAAAATGAAAATAAAGAAATATGTTTGATTCACATTTTTAAAAGGTTAATTTGAAAACAAGTGAGAAGAGGTAGGGTGGCCGAAAAGGGTCATCATTGGAAGGTGGTGCCCAGAGGGGTTTTATGGAGCCAAGGTGCAGGGACGGAACCGAGAATTTATTTACGGGGGTTAAGACATAAATAATTTTTTTTATATGAATTGATATAAATTACTATTTTTTTGAATTCAAAAAGTAAACTAAAATTTAATATTAAATTAGTACGTAAAAAATAAAACCATATATTTAGTAAATTTAATATATGAATAAAAGCAAAGTCATGTATTAAAAAATTATTTATACAAATCAACTCAATCATTTATCAAAGTGAAACTCGACGTTCTTTCATATCTCGAAAGTTTTCAATGATTAACTCAGTGGTAAAATTTTCAGCAATTTCCTTTTCAATGTACACAAGCAAAGAGTCTGTAAGAAATTCATCTTCCATTTTGTTGCGAAGTCTACTTTTGACAATTTTCATGGCTGAAAATGATCGCTCCGTAGTTGCAATAGAAATTGGAAGAGTAAGAACAAGTGTAATCACTCTATAAACAAGTTGATAGATCGTAGATTTGTTTGTCCTTACCAACCACTAACACAATTCAGAAATAGTAGACAATTTTTTGTAATCTGCATTTTGAACTACATTATGCTTGTAATGGTAAAGTTGCATTCTCAATTGTATTTTCTCTTGATCTGTGAAGTCTTACAGATAAAACTTTTCTACTAACTGACAAATATCGTCGATTCTAAAAGTTTTAGACACATTTTGAGGATCTAGAGCTAAGCTAAGATTAACCAACTCTACTGCATGTTCATTGATCCGCCCATTTAATTCTTGTAGTTGAGAATCTATTACAGGGTAAAAAATATCTACTCGATAATAACGCTCAACTGTAAAGTCATCTTGATGATCACGAGCTCGACCTCTTCTCCTAATATAAGGAGCATTCATATTTGGGACATCTACGTTACGTACCCCGCAAAATGATTTCACATTGACTAGTAAAGCATCCCATTTGTCATCTCTAAACTTTTGCAGAAGTGCCTTGGTAGATGAAATTAGATTCATAGCATTTAAGATATCTTGAGATCGGCATTGCAAAGCTTGACAAAGTAAATCAGTGATCTCCAACATTTCTTTCATGAGATGCAAAATAAAGACAAATTCAAATGAGGTCAATGTTCATAAGCTGAGTCTGCATCTCCTCGTTGGGCAGAAGTTGTTCCTTCATTAATGATGTTAAGAAGAACTTCACATATTGGACTGAATATTTTTATTAAACTTGAAAATGACTTGAAGTGAGAACTCCAACGAGTATCTCCAGCTCGTTGTAAAGTGCCAATCTGGTTAAGTCCCTTTCTAGTCTCGAGCTCATCAATGTCAATCATATGTTCAATTTCAGCAGCTTGCGCAACTTTCAATTCATCATTGCGCTTGCATGAGGCACCAACAATATTGACAACAAAAGTCAATTTAGGAAAAAATTTATGAATTGGGATAACATCTTTCGATGCTTCCACTAAAGCCAACTGCAAACGATGTGCAAAATAATGAATATAATAAGCATATGGACAATCATTCAAAACTAATGCTTGTAATCCTTTCCACTCACCTCGCATTTTTCTTGCACCATCGTATCTTGGTCCTCGAATATTTTGAATATCTAAATTGTGATGAGACAATACAGAATATATTCCATCTTTTAGGGTTGATATAGCAATGTTAGAGACATGAATAAGCCCAAGAAAAGGCTCTCTCACAAAACTATCTTTGTCAACGAATCTCAAAACTATAGCCATTTGCTCCTTCTTTGACTCATCACAAGCGTCATCACGAGCTTCATCAACAATTATGCAATACTTTGCATAACCAATTTCTTCACGAATTGCATTGTTCACTTTGGTTGAAAAAATATGTAAAATTTCTTTTTGAATCTTTGGTGATGTGTAAGAGGCATTTTTCGAAACTTTATCCAATACTTTAGCAACATTATCATTATATGATCCCAACAGTTTCACTGTTTGAAGAAGATTTCCACGATTAATTGAATTTGGCCTTTCATCGTGACCTCTAAAAGCACAACCTTGAAATGCAAGCAGTCAAATTGTATCAATTGAGATCTTCAATCTTAGTCGATTATCTACAATTTGTTCAGAAGTGAAATTGTCCAATACCTTTTGTATATGTTGAAATTGATTCATCAAGTCTTCACATGATCTCTCAGCAACATTGTGAAAAGAATTAGGATCTTTTCGTATATGATTTAAAAAAGCACATTTTGCTCCATCCCTAACTTTCTTCCAATTCTGAAATCCATCAACAGTGAATGCTTGTTGTTCATAATATCCAGATCAACATGGTTTACAAAAAAGAAAGCATGGTAAATAAAAAGCTGCATCTTTTGCAGGTGAATATTCCATCCATGATGGAACTAGTTTGAACCATGATGGTTGAAACTACGAAGATGAGTTGTTGATCCAGATTTCGGATACTTTGAAAGTATAGGTTGGTATGGACCAACCTTAATATAAGCTCGTTGAATTTTATCACGTTGATTAACATGATAATCCCAAATTTATATACGTAATCTAGGATCTCGCTCCAATGAACCAATATTAATTTCTTTAACATCAATTTTTTGAGATTTTGTGGGACGATTTTCAGGGATATCAACATTGGAAGTTGGCAATGATATATTGCCAGCATTGACTTCTGAGAAACTTGCATTTTTTCTTTTAAAAAATCTATCAATTGTACATAGCTTTCCCATAATAATCTACAAATCAAAATAGAATTCATTACATACATTGTAATGATCCAGAATTTTTTTTTTAAAAAAAAAATAGCTAGTGCATAATTTAATTGAGAAAATTTTCAAATTTGATTGCTGTGTAAATTCTGTGCGAAAACAGTTCAGTTTTGTATTTTTTTAAAACTAGTTCCCGTTCTCAGAAAATTATGAAATTTTTATATGTTGTTCCCATATGAGTCTAGTACGTTGTATAAAAATTTTAGAATTAAATGATGAGTATTTATTTTATGAAAATTCACGGACTGATTAGTGTTCAGTTTAATTTATAACAGAATTTGAAATTGAGTTTTGGGTGTTCGGACCAAGATTTGAGATAAGTTTGTTGGGACTATTTTGGTATATAATCGGACCATGTTTGATTTATGGGTGAGACCCATGATTTAGATTTAATTTAATTTGAGTTTGTTTAATAACTCATGTTTAACTGTTTGGTCATTTTTAATTAGATGATTGGTAGTAACTACCTTAGGAGTTGCTATTATTTATTATATATGATTATAATAAATATTTGATAGTTGATTTTATGGTGTGTACCATATGGTGAAAAATTATATATTTTATAAAGAATGAAAATGTGTATATTTCGTAGTGATCAAAATATTATATTTTGTGGTAAGAAAAATTATATTATTTTATAATTTATATTATAAAATTTTAAGGTATTATTACAAATTTTAAACAACACAACTATGCAGTGGTTGACAACCCACGTGGGGTTGCCCTTTGCTTGCTTGCTACGCTTTTCTTCTATTTTCACTTTTTTTTTAGCTGATAGCTCTGCTCTCTTTCTCCTCACCGTCTCTCTCTCTACCTCCATTGTTGGCTCAACTTTTAGCTTCAAATGGAAGCCCTTAGAGTGAGATTTTGCAAAAAAAAAAAAATGTAAAAAACCTACAAACACAAAACTGAAGACAAGAAAGAAACATAAAATTCATATCAATTTCTTAGAAATGCCCTACTTTTAAAAATTCTATAATGTGTTTAGTTTTGAAGAAAAAGTGATTTTATTAATTCATCTCACAAACTGATTCCTATTACAAAAGTTGTATATATATATATATATATTTAAAAATACCAAGCTTTGGGAAGACAAACCCACATGGGTTGCCTCCCTTTTTGTGTTGGCCATCATTCCTCTTCCTTTTTTTTCCATCTCATTTCATTTCTTGTTGGGTTGGGAGTGAGCTTGGCTCTCTTTCTGTGAAGCTCTTGAAAAATGCATTCTCTTTAAAAACCCTAATGTTTGAATTATTTTCTTAAAGCCCCTCAATTCCTTGAATTAATTCGAATTTTGTCGGTTAGCATTTGTTTTTAACAAAACAGGAATATCCTAGCCAAATTAGGTTCCTTAGTACCTAGTGGGTAATGTGTCCCTAGTACCTAGATTGAATAAAAAAATGCCCGAATCACCCTCCCCAATGGCCGGCCACCCTAGGAAGATGTGAGGAGCCTATTTTCAAGAATTGTAATCATGGTCTTCTAGAAACCCTAACACCTAGTACACCTAAACATAGGGTTTTGTTTCCAATGCTAGTTTCATTTCAACTAGGGACCAACTAGATATTGTCTAATCCTATGATTAAACTCCCTAATCACTCCTATTCCATTAGACTCCAAGTAAACCTAACTTTTCTATCCAATTCCAACTAGTGGACCTTTATGTCTTTTTACACCAAAATTTGCCTATAAATACCACCATCCCCTAGCTTGGCAAGCACAAACAACACACTCACACACACATTCGGCCTAGAGGAGAGAAAGGAGAGCAAGAGAGAAGTCTTGAGAGGGAGAGGAAGGAAGAGGAGAAGCCATCTTGTTCAAGCCTAGCAAGTAAGCCACAACACAACCTTCTCTTTCATTTTCCTTTTTCAAATACATGTTCTTAAGGGTTCTAAATATTGTTTTCAGATGTGTTATTGATGAGCTACTTGTGTTAAAAATGATAAGAGTTGAGCCATAATTCTACCTCTCTTGTATTTTCCATCATTTTGGTACAAAACTACCTTTTTCATACCAATCTCTCAAACTTTCCAAAGGCACACCTTCAAGCAAATTTTCTGAGTTTAATATATGTTAGTTAGCATGTTTTCATCACAAAAGAAACGAAAATTTTCCCTTAGTGGATCCCCTTTCTCACAAATTTTCTTGTTTTGGGGATTATGCCTTAGAATCTGTTTGCGCAGCCAACTTTCAAAATTTCTATAAAAATGTAGAAAATTATTTTGGACCTCTATTTTATGTCAAAATCTTCCTTAAGAAGTTAACTAAAATTGGTTTCATTGAAAAACAGTAAGCAGTTTGCAAAAAAATCAAATTTTCATAACAGTCGACGAATCTGGACAGCACTGGAGTGTTTTCTAAATAACTTAAAATCTAGAAAAGCTATCCCATTTCCGAAATATGTTCTGGAAACTAGATTAAATTCCTTACGAACCATAGGAAGGCCGAGTCCAGTGAAAAACCTAAATTAGTCCTTTTATTCTAATCCTTATGTGGTATTGAATCTGGAAATTCTGTTGCGCATGGGTGTTTTATGCTCTTGTGTTCTTGAAAATGCTTATTAGCTTATGATCATATCTTGGAATGATATTATATGTGTTATGGTTATGTTCTTTACCTTCTTCATCTTAATGATACATGCTTATGTGGATATTATTATCTTGTTAAGTTCGTCTAACCTTGATTTAAAGCATTTAACTCCACAGAAAACGTAATTGGGATGGTATTGGGTTTTCGATCGCTTGAGTAATGAAAAGATGATAAGGTGCGATGTATGGATTTTTGGGATGCGTTCCCTATTTGGAAGTTAAAGTTTTGCGCAAATGGTTTTCGGAACCCTTGAACGAAGCGGTTGTATTCGGATCTTAGGTGGTTTGGTGTGAGGAGGGATTTGGGCAAGGCCCATTATTACCGTCTCTTTTGAGGCCTTGCGGTTGGCGCTACGCGGTATATAACCGTTGGTAGGCATCCGAGGTTAGTTTTGCAAATGTCACGATCCAAACCCGCCCCTATAGGTTTAGCATCATAACCGGCCAGTAATCCTGGGATTACCGAAGGCCTCTGAGACAAATTAACATAATATTAGGGCTAGCGGAAGCAAATAACAAATATACATCGTCCATTGAGCTGTGCAGACCTATGTGAGACAGAAAAATTTTAAACTTTTTATATACATATACACACATCATCTTTTAGTCATTATATATACAAATTAGACAAAAAGGGACTTAGCCCTATTTACAAAATACGCAAGACTTGTTCAACCAAACACAAAAACAAAACTTAAACTTTAAATCATATGGCCGTAATCACTTGACATATTCGGAACCTCCACAGGAGGCACATAGGCTGGCTGACACAAAAAGATTCTAGGCAGATGCCTCTAAGTCTGGTCACGCGCCTGATCACCTACATACATAAATAATACAGTGAGCTAGAGTCCAATGAATAATAACAGAGTACAGGATTTAATGAATGATGTCCATCACAGAGTTAAAAATCAAATTCTTATCAGAAACAGAGTCTTACGTATATTCAGATTCCAAATCAGAAACAGATTCATATACATATTCATAATCATTTCCATATTCAGCTTTCGCATATAATCATACGTGGTACATCCATTAGTGTTAACAAATCCGATGACCCATAAAGGGACGGCCTTAAAGGCATTCCGATGACTCATGTGCACAGAGACATTTCTGATGACCCACCCATGAAGGGCCTGATGACCCATGAAGGGACGCATATCATATGAAGCTAAGGATGCCACGAATAACTTTCAGAATCTTGGACAATCATTCATTCATTCAAAACATAGCGTAGCATTTCAGAAGACTAATCATTTTATGTCATAATGTTCAGAAAATATTTAACATTGAATATAACTTTACGAAGTTATTACTCACAGATAGCCGCAGAAGCAAATCAGACGGACTGGACATATCAGGTAAATCAGGCAGACAATGGCGCGTGACCTACACAAGTACATAACATATACACATTGAAATACAATATTACTCATTTGATCAAACTTGACTTTTCTAGTCTTTTTCCGTCTAAACAGTCCGAAGTTCTACTATGCTTATTCTTTCTCATTCAAATAACCGGATTCTTATTTCACATATTCTTTCATTACTAAGTCCTTCTTTTCCAAATAGATTGATCTTCTACTTGGCTTCTTAAACAATTACCACTAGATCAATGATTCATTCTCCAACTAACTAATCTATGTTGATTAGTAGCTTATTAATCTTTATTGAATCATAAATCATGTCTAGAATGCTTTGGAAAGAGATGAGAATAAAAATGTGAACTAAATGCAAAATTTTCAAAATATGCTGAAAATGGGTCTCCGCTCGAGTGCCACTTCGTTCGCTCGAGCAGACTGTAAAATTTGAAAAACTACTGGGAGCTCGATTTTCACGCTCGAGCGAGACTTTCCTCGCTCGAGCGGACAACGTAAATTATGAAATTCTAAAATTGCAATTAAAGTTCAAATTTGGTATTCAAAACCTCAAAACTTGTACTTTTGGTACACAAAAATGGAGAACCATTGGATAATTTAGTAAACACTTTCAATTAGAAATCATTCATTCAAAATCATGCTCCAATTGTCCAAATTTAGTTTTAACTCATCTTCTTTACATCAACCCACAATTCTAAAATATAAATTAGACTTCCCAACCTCTTGAAATTCCATGATGTATGTAATACAAATAGATCTAATTTTATTATTAATAATAAATCAACTTAACTATGAATTACACAAATCAATTTCTTAGAAATTCAACTTAACTCAATTTCTAACCAAAAACTTAATTTATAATCATGGGTGTTCTAAAATATATCTAAATTGAGTAGAATTATTAAATTACATCACATGCATGGATTAAATAAAAATCTAATTACAAAATCGAACTTTAGGATTAATTCCAAATTTCCTTAAACTTGGTTTT